TTTGTACATACTTAACAAAAAATACAAGAATACAATAATACATAAATAAAATACTCAATTTTCTCATTAAGTTAACAATACTTAATAAATACACTTTCTCACTTGTAAATAAAACATACACTTACACATTTACAATACACAAATACATTGATACATTTACACATACACATTCCCCTTATTCTTGTACATTTGATACATATCACATTTGAGATCGCAATTCGATTTGGTTGTAATTATTTGGACACTACTCTCCTATTAAGTCTCATCCCCATTTATAAATATTTGTACCCCCACTCCCGGATACTTATTTGTAATAGCGTAGACTTTAAATTCCCGTAATTTATCGCTTTCAAATATACCATGGTTAGACCTAGGGTTTGTATGTACATAAAATCAAACGCTAGATAACCTAATACAAAGACAAATACATGAAATCAATACACAATCACACTTGAACCCATAGGGTAATCCCGCTTGTTGCCTTCCAAAATGGGTCATGCTTGCACGTTGAGTATCTTTGGCAAAACAAAACAATTCAAATGACCATAGTCCCTCGATGACGCTTTCGAAAGTTGCCTATCAAAATGATCAAGTCCCTTCAAGCAAATTGCCATAGATACTTGGCACCATTGCATTCATGGTCTAAACGATGACCCGCGCCCGTCCCATAAACATCCTAACACAAGATTGTCCACCAAATACAATGGTGGAACAAAATTGTTAAAAGGGTTAAAACATAGCAAAGATCTTTGAGTAAATTTAGGAGTAGACAACTCTTGGTTATTTGCCAACTTGCAAAACAAAACCACTTGCCTACTTTTCAAAACCCACTTCACAAACACTTTCAAAAAAACAAACTTCCAAAAACATTTGAAACATCTTTTCGAAAAGATACACACCTTTGTAAAGCACTCAAACACGAGTCATTACATTGGTTGCCTAAGACAAGGCATCTTCTTCAAAAACATTTTCAAAACACACACACACACCACAATTTCAAGCAATTGAAAATCAAAGGCAAGTGATCTAAACAAGTAACTAAGAGTCCATGGATAACCATGGATAGAAAGGGTTCTAATACCTTCCCTTTCTATAATCTACCCCCCGAACCCACGAAACATCTCAAAAGGTTTTTCCTGTGCTTTTTAACCTTTCCTTTAGGATAAAATAAAAAGTCGGTGGTGACTCTTGCTAAACCGAACAAGTGCGAATACAAACGCAAAACTCAAGTCAGTTCTCCCACCGTATCACACATGCCCTTATCCGTATCGATTTCTTCTTCAGCCGGGGCCGTAATCCCTTCCAACTCCTTCGTTCGGACGACCAGACGCTCGTTCTCTTTGGTCATAGCCTCCAGTTGAGGCTGCAACTCGTTTAGATCCTTGAGAAGTCGAACTTGGGCCTCGAGAGAGCACTTTAATTTCTCGTTCTTGACCTTCAGCTTTTAAATCTTAGCATATGCTGATCGAGAGAGGCCTGAGAGCTCGCGGCCTCGTCATTCAGCGACATGGTTGTCTCGAGCATCCTCATGACAACAGCCACATCCTCCGCCAAATTCTTTCAACGAACTTCCTTATCCTCAGACAAGATCACCTCCCTCTCCTCCTCGCGCACACCCAAGGAGCTCTCCCCGCTGAAGAGAGCACGGTTTAGATAGCAAGGAGGCAGCACGAAGACCCCCACGGGCACTTTATCACCCTCGGGAACTACACCTTCGACATTCTCCACGCGTTTCCTCTTCGTCGCGGGCTCGTTGACGGGAATTTGGGCGGACTCGCCAGAGGGAACCTGGGTTTTTGATGAAGAGGGGGAACCGCTGACATAACCCGCAGATTTGGACTTCTCTTGGAACTGGGTGGCCCTGCTCTTTGGCCCCGAGATGGACGCATTCTTGGGCCTCAACTTCAACAAGCGCTCAGAGAGGGATGCCATTCGACCTACAATAAAAAAGAACCATCAGTCATGGGTTAGAATAAGGAAAATAACACGGGCACGTCCCCGCATGAAAGGCAAGCAAAATTAATTATCACGACAACGTCCCCTACCTAAAATCCTCATGGCTTCCTCGTATGAGGAACACTCGAGCAGGGCCTTTGTGTTGATCAACCTGTTAACTAAAAGGTACTCCTCGTTGTTGTCGAAGAGGAGGTTGTTGTTCATGTCCACACACCTCGCGGGGGAGAAACTCCTAACATAAGCCGCCAACTTCTCGTAGGAGAGCTGGTCCTGAGCGTCCAATTCCTCGGGCTTCACAGCATAATACTCAGGTCTTTGCTCGAAGTGTTTCCATTATCACTCAAGCAGAAATCTGGCCACGAGCCGGGTAACTGGTCGTCCATCCTACACTTCCTCTACGCAGGTGTATATGGAGTCTATGGCCGCGTCCGTCAAAGGTTTTACAACAAAGTACCTCTCTTTGAAGTTTCGGACAGACTCTAGATAATGCCTAAAGAGCTTCCCGAACTGCTTGAACGACACTCATGTTTTCCCCCCTTCGACGGATTGTCTTTGGAGATGAAAGATACGGAAGAAGAGGGGAAGCGTGGCCCCTATCTGCAGATACTGGCAAACAAGCTCAAACGCCCGCATGAACGCCTGCGTGTTTGGGTGAAGTTGAGAGTGCGCCAATTGAAAAACCCCCACATGGAAATCGTTGAAGGGCAAACGCATCCCCACCTCTTTAAATGCAAATTCATACATAGGAAAATGTTTGCCCGGATACGTCGAGCAGATTCTCCAGTTGCGATGGGGAATTTGAAGTATCCAGTTGGCAGAGGCCCCTTCCGCTCGTACCTCCAGACAGTTGAACGCGTTTGTTGCGTCCTGAGAAAAGCACCACTTCTTATTTCGAGGCTCAGGTGCGACCCAGGCTAGAGGGTCCTCATCAACATGTGGTTCATCTTCATAGTTGGCAACATCATCCCCGACCGAGTGCGCCATTATACCTGAAAAGCAGGGGAAAACAATGAATTCGGCATTATCAAATTCACCCTTCCACCGCAGATCAAGTGAAAGGGCGACGAACTCGACCCAAACCCTCGACTATACGCTAAAGCGGACTACGTTTTCATTGGGGACTACATTTTCGTAGGGGATATTCACTCAAACGAGAAAGAATCCCGAGTCAATCCCCATTATCTGGGGAGATCGTCCCCTATATCATGGCCACTATTCGGGAGATTGTCCCCGACATCATACACTAGTGAATTTCAATGAACATTCATGAGTGTTCATCGCAGAACTCATGAACTTCAACGAACATTCATGAGTGTTCATCACATAACTCATGAATATTCATCCAGTCAAGGCAAATATTAAGTGTTTAATCTAGAAACGCTGAGGAAATATGTTATTGAAGAGATATAACTTACTTGGATGAATAATTCTTGAAAGAAATCTGCAAAAGTTGAAAGGAAAGCTTCACGCGCGAACAAGAGAAGTTGAAGGAGAAAACTTGAGAAAATGACAAATGAGACTCAGGGGTCCCCTTTTATAGGTGGTTCACACCCCACGAGGTTCATCACGAAAAGTCATCATTGAATTGAATCTTTTGGACTTCCCCTGAAGGGATGACACCCCAAAACAACAGCCACATGGCCCAACAATCAACCACGTGTCCATTCTCAATAGACGAACACATCCCCGACTTCAACGCGTAATCCCCACGCGAGCATGAGACAAATACTTCATACGAGGAAATGCTCGACGCCATGGCTGAAGCGTGTATACGAGCACATTCATCATGATCTACCTCGAGGGCGAAATAACACTCGACATTGTGGCAACCCCTTAAAGACGGACACGTCGAAAGAGAGCTCGCAGAAGCTCCCCGCAACTTATACGGTTCTCTCGGAAAAACAACAAACCGCGTCTGTCTCGTTGCTCGTTTGTCCACAAGATCCCTAACACACTTAAACAGATTGTCCCCTACGCGGGCAACAACTCGCTTCCTTTCAGAAGACTTCGACCATCCTCCCCGACCAAATCCTCTCCGACTATAAAAGTTGAACTTAAGTCATCACCCTTTCACCTAAGGACAATAACTTTGGAGCTCCTGATCTGGACTGGGCCTGCACTTGTCCCCCCACTTTACTCTCAAGTTCTGCTCGACGTAAATTATGACAGTCCATTCTGGTCAGATAGATCATAAACTAAAAAAAAAATTTTAATTAATAACATGATTATCTAATTCAATGTACACTCTACTCTTTCTTTTTTTTTATTATAATATAACTCTACTCTTTTTTTTAATTATAATATAATTTTGTCATATTGGAATTCAATACTCAATTGAATTGATAGCCTATACATAAATATCAGATGCAGACGGGTTGAATTTCAAGGAGCTACTTGACCGCAACTATATGCATATTTTTTTGTATTATTTGAATGTAATTGTGTTTCAGTTTTAAGTAGAATTTTTGTTTCAGTTTACCCAGCAGGTTAAGTCCGTCCTTCATAGTGTTTTCTGATTTCTCCAACGTATTTTTAAAGGGAGAGATTTTGACTAAAACTACACTGAAACTTCAACAAAACAGAGCACCACAATCTCACCCTAATACAATCGTGCACTAAAAGGATAAACACAACTTCCTAATAAATAAACATGCACTTTGGAGAAAATAGCAATTCTCCAAATTCATCAAACTCTACATTTCAGGAACCCGGAAAACAAATGTTACAAGTCTGCATGGTTATTGAAATAGAATGAAGAACGTGGTGAAGAATCTCCCCGGAAAACATAACAGAAAATACACACAACAGATCACTACTAGACATTTCGAAAACATGGTAACGACTATCGATCACAAACCTCTTTACACAACTTGTCATCCTGTCCATTTCATTTCATTTCCATAAGGACCTTATGCAATGACTCCGCTACGACGACATCACCAATCATGCAACTCACAAATGCAGAAAATTTTATTGGAGTACCATTTTTCTTCTGCCATCCATCTCGTCCATCGACAGCAAGATTAAAAAACGACTTTTTGCGTTCAACGCCAAGAATCGGCCAACTCAGATCTTGAATTTATACATCCAATAAGTGCAATTCCCCTGTTCTTCTCCACCGCTCCTGCTGAACACTTGTCTGTATCAGAAGTATTCAACTGAAGGCTTTTGTTGTTACAGATTTTTGTTTGATCCCCCATTGCCAGAGAGCAAATTTGAGAGACAACACCGCAAGGACAACTGTCAACAAGCAACCTATTTCCGCTTGAAATAAAATTTTCGGCAGATGTTGGCAGACTTTTGGATCCGCTTTCAGTTTCACAGCCATCTTTGAAAAGATGAATAGGGCTTTGATGCGAAGGTTCAGCGGTGACAAATACTGTGTCTTCGTCACTAAAATTGTTTCCATATTCACTTTCATCCTTGAAAAGGACTTGTGAATCATTTTGATGCCCGTCGTCGTCAAAGGAATTTAGGTTCGATACGGGGTTCAATTTGGTGATTGACTCCTCTCTTTCTTTTAGTGTCATCACTACTAGAGTCTTGAGGAAATTCATGACTTGTACAGCATACATCAGAGCAGTCAAAGGATCTACCATCTGCAGTAAACATGTAAAAAAGGCGCGGTTATTGTAGTAAAGATTAATCATAACCTCAAACTAATACTCTAATTTTGCTTAACATCATGTAAGAAACAAGTTTAATGGAACACACCAAAGTCAATCAGAAATTCTGTTCTTGAAACATAACTCACCCTCAATTTTGTCTGATATTATAATTTTGCACAGCAAATTTGCGTAGATTTTAAGAATACCAGAAATCGCAGCCAAATTTATAGCACTAAGCCAAATAATTTATAAATGTTCATCAGAATAAAAACAACAATCATGTAAGCATTTTGTAGATTTGAAACATACATGTTATTCCAAAGTAGCATTCAACCATCTAAAGGATGTGTATTGCTCTACATTGAGCAGGAAAAGTAGAACAATAAACCTAGAATACACGTCTAAGGACAAGTACTACTCTTTAGGGCTTGAGATCTATGAAGAAAAGGAAACCTCAAAAATTCGTGTTAAGGGAAGAAAAACTGATAATGTAAAAAATTTCATTAAAAATGTTTGGTTTCTGCAATAATATAACCATAAAAAAGTGGCTGTCCCAGTCTTTGAAGTTCAGACACAAAAAGGTGACCAGGAGCAGAACCGTATACTAAATATACAAGGGAACGTGATATTGACTTACGTGAGTCATGTTTGGTGCAAAAACCATTGCAACATTACGTGCATTCATCTTGTTCAAATGTTCTAGTTGAGCAACATCTGCCATTAGGTTGACTGCCCAATCTAGGAGGGCAGCTTCTGTTGGAGGAAGAAGCCTAACAAGCTGAGCACATTCTTCTTCTGATTGGGACTGCATCACCTGCTCAGGCGAAAGAGGGTCCAATATCCCTGTTGGAAGTTCTCTGAACCAAGCCTACAGAGGTTCTCAAGCATATCAAAATTAATGAAATAATCCATTTTAATTGTAGCTTCCTTAATGAGTTATAGCATGTTAGCGGCCTCTTTAATGCATTCACCATATTGCTCCAAAGTAAGAAAAAGATGAAAACAATTGAGATTAGTACATTAGAATTAGGGTTAAATTTGTTTTTAATTCCTATAATAATTATCTTGATTTTCTTTTTTAGTCCCCAAAGAGAGGCTAAAAAGCATGCAATTTTATAATTCTTACTGACTACAAAGTGAATATAGGAACTAAAAAAAAGAATGAAAAATTTCATAGGGACTAAACATATTTAACCATTTAAATTCCTAGACAACATTCAAATAGACGATAGGACCAAATCGTAACAACCCAAAGGCTAATTCCCTTCCATATAAATTTCCAAACATTTAAAAGGGGAAAGAGCGATAAATATTCTGAAGGAAAAAACTTAGTAATACCTTTATAAGACCTGCCAAGCAGTGCACATCAATGCCATTCGGTACCACTCCTCTATTCAATTGTTCCCTCACAAACTCCTCTTGACCATTTTCAGCATTAATTCTGAAGATTCCTTCAGCCTAGACGTATAAGTTTATAGTTCAATTTCAAAATTCAACACTATTGAAATTAAACAACAAATCATACAAAACGTTTTTGGTATGCATTAGTTCAAATACCTGCAGACCTCCTTGTGCATACAGATGTCTTTGCATTAAGAGAAGTATTGTAGGCACACTATTTCCTCTGGCATCGAAAGAAAGCTGCATAGATTCTGTTGAAACACCAAAAACACTTGTGCTGTGCACAATAAATGAAAATATATCAAAATTCAACATGATGATATCATTCGAGATGCATTCGCCAATCATGTAATATGAGTAAGATAAAGAAAAGAGAATAATTCCAAAAAAATGATGAAAAAACAGATAGGGTGTGCTGAAAGTAATATTTTGTCTACTTGTATCAACGAGGGCTATACACTCACAAATGCAAAACATAACATCACGTCGTTTATCATCACGCTCCATCACAGTTGCAAGAAATAATCAATTATTTTGCAATGATGAAGTGCGGTGCCCCAAATTTCAAACAAAACAAAACCAACAACATATCCAACAAGGAACTAAACGGTATCTTTGGCTTGATTAACAAATATGGAAGAAAGCATCTACACTAATGATATTAGCATCCTCTCATTTTTCTCATATCTCTCACTAATTACAATAAACCAAACCCACCTCAGAAAAGTAATCAACATATAGACAAGTGATAAGAATTAAAGTCACTCGATTTATCCAAAAAAATGAAACCATATCCCATAGAGGACCTTCAATTACATCTCCTAATTTAGCAAGTAGATAATGAAAAATTGAAAAAAGATACAAAATATAAACAAACCCTAAATGAAAAGAATAAGGTAAATAGAAGAAACCTAGCACTTGGAGGTCTTCTTGGAACTTCAGGTTCAAACTCAACAGGCAACCCAAGAAAGCCATGAAAGCGATCAAAAGTAACATGAGCAACATGTCTAACGTTAGAAGGCCACCCAATTTCCATGGAAGAAGCAATATCAGAAGCAGTGGTGCTACAACCAATCAAAGATTTTCTAAAAGTAGCAATCAGAAGAGTCAAAATAGAAAGCTGATCTCTTTCTCTTTCCTTATCTTGAATCTGTTGCTGCTGCTGGTGTTGTTGAATCTGAAAACGGTGAATAACAGTTTCGGTTTGGTCATTGTTGTTAAGAAGGGAAGTTTGGTGTGGAGCATCATTGGAGTTTAAGCGAGCACATGGAGATGATGAACAGCTTGAAGGTGAAGGGAATTGAAGCACTTCCATCATGGTTGATTATTTATATTTTCAAATTCTTCTTGTTGGTGTCAGTGAAAAGGTAAGGGTTTTTCGATGGAGTGAAGTTTGGTTCAAGAAAGTGCTGGAAGGTGGAACGTGAACATCATCACTCTGTTACTTCGGTTAACCGCTTTACCCGACCCGGATTTCGATTCGGATTCGGATTCGGATTCTCGGTGTTTTCGTTATTCAGAGAAGAATCATAGCGTCGGAGAGAGAACAATGGTTGGTTAGGGTGAATCGGAGATGAAGCGTGTGTGTATGAGAGAGAGAGAGAGAGAGAGAGAGAGAGAATGAACGTGCTATTTTTTTTTATCGAATTTATTTATTTTAAAAAATAAAAACATCAGAAGAATCAAATGTTTAATAAAAATAAAAAATAATTAAAATATTCTAACACACTACTTGAATTTACAAAATAGTTTTTAAAAATTAAAATTAAATTCATATAAGTTTAATAAATTGCTTTATTTTTGTTTTGCATGATGCTAATATTAGTATGACATTTATTAATTAGTGTTTATGTGTATGATTTACAATAGACCAATCCATGTCAAAATCAAAGTGGATGATAATAACATGTGACAAGTATTATTCCTTGCCTTTTTGAGTGAATTGTGGTAACTTTTTTTCATCTTTCATTTTCAAGTTCATACTTTAATCTGGAAATATAGATAGATATTAGAGCAATGTTGAAAAAGTTGTTTTAATTATTTATAAAAAACTTAAACAACAATCTCTCTGGAATGATTCAAAGAAACAATGAGGTGCGCACCCACCTAATCTACACATGGCCCCCCATATTTTTTACATGAGGTTAATCAAGCAAAAGAAAAAATCTATATTGATGTCTCCACGTGTCATTAACTATGTTTTCATGTTTGTATTACGCCCATAGTGTTAGAATTTTAAAAGTTGTTGTATTAAATTTATGGCCTTTTCAACCTCATAAAAGGTAGTTATATTTATTGTAGTATACATGTCACAAAAACAAATTTATTAATTTTGTAATAATATAATAATTTGAAAATAGAACAGTAAGGATGTGATTGGTTGAAAAAAAATTGAAAAGAGAGAAATAGATGAGAAATGATATAAATTAATGGAAAATAGAATAGATTTAAGATATTGAACCGTATATAAAAGAAAGAGAAGAAAAATAAAAATGAAAAAAATATTTTTAATTTTTAAAAAGATAAAAACGTCCTTAAGTTAAAATTTTATTTTGTTATGAATATGTTTTATTAAAAGTGTTAATATATATTCATGTTTATATTAATACATATTATTTTTACATATAATAAAATACAATAATATTTTTTTATCAAAAATTAAATATAGGAATTTTTTTTATTTGAAAGATTAATATAAAAAAGGTTATGCAACCATCATATAAAACAATAAACAAAAAATGTTATTTTTTAAACATACAAAAATGTTATTTTTAAATTGCATTGTTCTCTACACTCAATTTTTATTTATATGCAAAGATGTAAAATTCAATTGGATGCAAAAAAAAACCATTTTTAGCAATTAACACTAAAATTTATGTTTCTATAATTCTTTATTATGCAAAAATTCATAAATGCAAGGTATAAAGATATTTTAAGTTTTATTTTCAATTTTAAATAGAAGCAGAAATATAAGAATGAAAAATGGGCAAACATGAAAACTTGAAAAAATTATTCATTTCCATGCTATTTCATCACTGTTTGGAGAAAAAATGAAAAATATGTGGGTCTCGCTATATTCTAATCTCTCTGATGGGAAATTCAACGACAATTAACAGTAACAACTCTAATAGAGCAATACACAGTGGATATAATTTTCCCAACTTGTTGAATCTGTGAGGAGCAACAATAAATAATGCAGCAACTAAAAAATAACAACACAAAGAGACACCAAGATTTTTAACGTGGAAAAAACCTTCTCAAAGTGAGAAGTAAAACAACCACGGGCGCAAGCCAGTAAACAAGCTCCACTATGATCAATGTATGGGTACAAAAGAGTCTCAAATGTAGTACAAATCGTGCTCAACAATCAGCCAAAACAATAAGGCAACAAAACATGAAATAGAGACCAAAGAAGAACCAGAAAACTCCAAAGGGCTGCTACTGTGCATGGCCAATATCTCCCACCTCAGACCTCTGATCGCCGATCACACCGTTCATATTGAAGAACCGGATGTCAGGAACATGCAGTTCAAATTTCGGCCAAATCGGGCGGTGAATGAAGGATATATCGCGATTCTAGTGCAGCTGCTATATGTATGTGCGAAAATCTGTTTCTCTTCTCTTCTCTCACTTTTCTCTTGCCTCTCTTGCCTAAATCAGACCTCTCACTCTTACCCTAATTGATCCCTCTCCACTTAGATAAATGAGACACATGGGCTTGCACATATTGGGCCTTTCTCCACATAGGATAGGAGCCCAAAACCCAACATATCTCCCCCTCACAACTATGTGGAGGTGACCGCCAAACCGACGATCTCACAACAAGTTTCAAACTTGCTTTTCGGTAATGCCTTGGTCATCATATTAGCACCATTATCATATGTATGAACCTTGGCCAATTCCAACAACCCAACATCCAAAGCATCACGTATCCAATGATACCTAACATCAATGTGCTTGGACCTAGAATGAAAAGTTGAATTCTTACCAAGATGAATTGCACCTTGACTATCACAAAATAGCAAGTATTTGTCCTGCACAAAACCAGGCTCCTGCAAGAATTTCTTCAACCAAATCAACTCCTTGCATGCTTCTGTAATGGCAATAAACTCTGCCTCAGTAGTGGACAATGCAACACATCTTTGCAATCTGGATTGCCATGCCACAGCTCCCCCTGCAAACTTAATCAAGTAGCCTGAAGTAGACTTTATGGAATCAATGTCTCCAGCCATATCAGAATCAGTATAGCCCACAAGAGTAGGTATATCACCTCCAAAACAAAGCCTCAAACTGGTAGTACCATGAAGATACCTCAAAATCCATTTCACAGCATTCCAATACTCTCTACCTGGATTAGACAGAAATCTACTGACTGTACCAATAGCATGTGCAATATCAGGTCTTGTACACACCATTGCATACATCAAACTCCCCACAGCAGATGCATAAGGAACCCGTTGCATATCTGATTTTTCAGCTTCATTGGAAGGACTCTGATTAACAGTCAATTTGAAATGAACAGCAAGAAGAGTACTTGCAGCCTTAGCATTTTCCATCTGGAACCTCTGAAGCACCCTTTTAACATAGTGTTCCTGTGACAGCCAAAGTTTCTTCTTGTTCCTGTCACGCATGATTCTTATACTAAGAATCTGATTAGCAGCTCCCATTTCTTTCATGGCAAATGACTCGCCCAATTGCTTCTTCAACCTGTCAATCATGGAAATAATTTTCCCAACAATAAGCATGTCATCAACATACAATAACAGGATAATGAAATTATCAGCAGGAAACTTTTTAACAAAAACACGGTGATCAGAAGTAATCTTCTTGTAGCCTTGCTCACACATAACAAACTCAAACTTCTTGTACAACTGACGCGGGGCTTGCTTCAAGCCATATAGGCTCTTTCCCAATCTGCACACATAGTCTTCCTTGCCTTTAACAAGAAACCATCAGGTTGCTTCATGTAAATCTCTTCCTCCAAATCACCATGAAGGAAAGCAGTTCTTACATCTATTTGCTCTACCTCTAGATCAAGAGTAGCAACCAAACCCAACACGGTTCTTATGGATGACATCTTCACCACAGGAGAAAAAATCTCATTGAAATCAACACCCTTTCTTTGTCTGAAACCTTTCACCACCAATCTGGCTTTATATCTTGGAGATGTAGAATTGCTTTCTTGCTTTACCTTGTAAGTCCACCTATTTTCCAATGCCTTCTTTCCCTTAGGCAATTCCACCAAATCAAAAGTGTGATTATCATGCAAAGACTTCATTTCATCTTGCATAGCATCCAGCCACTTCTTCTTTTCATCACTCTCCATGGCCTCATTAAAACACTCAGGTTCTCCTTCATCTGTCAAGGTAACATAGTCATCAGAAGGATACCTGGTAGATGGTTTCCTCTTCCTATTAGACCTCCAAAATTGAACTTGAGGTGGTTCAGGAGAATCACCAAGATCTTCATCTTGTGGCATCTCATGTTCCTCTTCAGCATCATCAACAGGAATATCTACATCATCTCCAAGCTGCTGGTCACCAACATCATCATGTTTCTCATCATTCTGAATATTATTTTCAGCAGTATCCAGATCATGCACAGGCCTCCGAACTGGATCAACATCAGACAAACTATTATCAATCTCTGGTGTAGTCTTCTCCATCTTATCAATGTCTTCAATGGTTTGGTCTTCCATGAACTTCACATCACGGCTTCTAACAACTTTCTTCCCAACTGGATCATATAGCTTGTAGCCAAATTCATCCTGACCATACCCGATAAAATACACTACCTTATCTTCACATCCAACTTGGATCTCTCATCCTTTGTAACATGAACATATGCTTTGCAACCGAAGACACGCAAATGATCATATTTGACATTCTTGCCAAACCAAATTTTGTCTGGCACCTCTGCATTCAAAGCAACCGCATGACTCAGATTAATAACATGCACTGCCGTGTACAATGCTTCACCCCAGAAATGTTTAGGCAACTTTGCTTCAGAAAGCATACACCTAACTCTTTCAATCAAAGTCCTATTCATCATATCCTCTAAACCATTCAGTTGAGGAGTTTTAGGAGGAGTCTTTTCATGTCTGATATCGTGCTGCTTGCAGTAAACATCAAATGGTCCACAATACTCATCACCATTGTCAGTATGAATGCATTTCAGCTTCTTGCCTGACTGTCTCTCCACTATAACATGGAACTCTTTGAATTTCTCCAGAACTTGGTCTTTTATGTTCAAAGCATAGACCCAAAGCTTCCTGAAACAGTCATCAATAAAGGTAACAAAATAAAGTGCACCACTAAA